TAAGCGTCTGCCTTCGGCTCAGGTCATGATCCTGGAGTCCCTGGATCGAGTCCCGCATCGGGCTCCCTGCTCAGCAGGGGGTCTGCTTCTCCCTCTGACCCTCCTCCCTCTCATGCTCTCTGTCTTTCATTCTCTCTCTCACAAATAAATAAATAAAATCTTTAAATGAACATAATCGTAGCCCCCGCCTGTTAGGTTCGTGAAGACGAAATGAGCGGGTATTTCCAAAGGGCTGAGAACAGGCCCCGTACAGTACCTCCACGAGGTAACTCACACGATGCTTATTATCATGGTGATGCCCCCACTGGCCCTCCAAACACAGCGGCTGTCATCACGATTATCAACTCTGTTCCTCTGTTACCCCATCAGGATGGTGGGGGCCTGGCTCCCGAAGCTCAGGAAAGGTCTGCTGACTGATAGAGCGCTTGAGGGTGCATTCCCAACAGGAGACCTCTGGAAACACTGCACTGAGCCTTCCAAGTCCAGTCCCTTGCCTGGCATGTGAATTCCCGCTGAAACATCTATGCAGAGGGGAGGCTAATCTCCCCTTGAGCCCCTCCCAAGGTGGGGAGCTTCACCTCTCTCGAGAGCCAGTTTGCAAGCGGCCCCGTCCCAAATGAGCCCTCACCCAGCCATTCCACCATCTCTTACCTGTCCCAGGTCGGCCCATGATGACTTCCTTTTTGGGGGCAGGATGGCTGGTGTAGCTGCTGGGCACCAGGACGGGCAATAGGGCAGCAGGTGAGGGGTGGAAGGCCACCGGCTGGAAGGGTGAAGAAGCCAGGCCGAAGGTGGGCATCGGCTGGGCCACGGCAGTCGGCGCGGCTGGAGGCACGGTGATGGGCACGGGGGCTGGCAGAGGTGGGGGCAGGCCAGGCTTCCCACTGGCCACCCCAGGGGGCACCGGGGTCTCTCGGCAGCCCCGCCCAGGTCCTGCTGCCCGTGCCTCGCCTGCAGTGCTCACCTCCCCAGGGAATTTGGAGGGCAGCGGCACGTCGGGGTTGCGAACAATGACGGGTGAGTCCCGCTGCACAGCAGGAACCCGGCGCACAGAGGGCCCAGGGTCCGAGGTCAGGCCAGCAGGCGGGGGCAAGAGCAGCAACGGCGAGGGCTGGCGGGATCGGGAGAAGGGCACGGCGGGTGACACGGCCCGGAAGCCAGCCGGTGTGGAGGGTGTAGGCGTGTGGGACACCGAGTCCACGCCGGAGTCTAGGCTGTCGCTCTTGGGGAAGTCCGGGGTGGCTCCCCCGCCCCCCGCACCAGGCGCCCCCAAAGCCCCCGGGTGGGGCAGCAGCTCTGTCTTCCTCCGCCCGGGGCTGATGGGCACGGTGAAGGTCAGGTTGGTCTGGAAGGTGGGTAGGATGCCAGAAGAGTGGCGCTCTCTGGGGGCAGGCGGCGGTGGGTGGGGGCCCAGGTCCGGTGGTGTCAGCACGCCCCCCTTTGGGGTGCTGGCGCTCAGGTGGCGGCTGCGAACGGCAGTGCGCTGGATGACTGGTGAGGCGTTGATGGGGCTGAAGTTGGCGGGGCGGAAGCCAAAGAGCGGCGAGGGGGAGGGCGAGGGGGCCGGTGAGAAGGGCGACTGCGTGGACACGGGAGAGAAGGAGGGCGTGCCAGAGCGAGAGCTGCCCAACGACACCAGCATCACGGCCGCCTCACACTCGTCGAACTCAAAGCGCGACAGGTCAGCAGGAGCCACCAGGCGTGGGCGCGAGTCCCCGCGGGCCGCCACGCTGCTGGCCTCACTGTCCCGCGAGGTTTCGTCACCCCAGTCAAACTCGGTGCTGCCCTCACGTGCCGCCACGCCTGCCGGCCGCCCGGCCCCACCGGGGCCACTGTCCGCCAGACCCTCCATCTCCTTGGTTCGCATGGACAGGTGGCGCGAGCAGTAGCCCCGCCGCTGCGACTCCTTCATGCAGCCGTCTCGGGAGCACAGCCGGCGCCACTGCTTGCCATTGAATTTCTTGCGGATTCCATTGGGCGTGCAGACCACATCCCCCTTCTTATACTTCTGCTGGGCGGCTGTCAGCGGCGTGCGGGCCCGGGCGGGCGCAGCCCCCTTCTCCAGAGAGGCCACGCTGCTGCTCCGGCTCCCGCCCTGGCTCCCCTCCTGGCAGGGCGACGGCTGCTCGCCAGGGCGGCCGGGGCCTGCGAAAGCTGGGGACTTGGGCGGGGGCGACAGGAGCTGGGGCGGGGGCAGTGGGAGCAGGGCCGGGGTGCCCAGGGCCGGCGGGTGCTTCTCCTCGCCCTCCTCGCAAGTCCCCAGGTTGCCACCAAAGCTGATCTTCGACACCTCCGCATCCTCAGGCTGCTTGGGGTCCAGGGCGGCAGGGCAGGGGGGCAGGGCGCCCCCCGGCTCAGCCTGCTCCTCCTCGGGGCCCCCAGGGGGCTTCCTTGGCAGGGCCTCGGGTTCCCACGGGGGCCGCAGCAGGCGCAAGCTGGAGCGGGCCACCCACACGGCCTCCTCAGGCTCACGGTGTGGCAGCTGCGGGGGCTGCGGTGGGGTGGCCGGCGGGCCCGGCTGGGAGGTGGGGCCGGGGCTCAGGCGGACCTTGTAGGCAGCGGGCTTGGTGGCCACCTCCACCACCACACCCTCACGGTAGGCAGCCACGCCGGGCTCCACGCAGGTACAGACAGCTGTGCCCACCGCCAGGGCCCCCGGCGGCGGCGTGGCGTCCAAAACCACATCGACACCGCCGCCGGGGGCCCCCTCGTAGAACGTCAGGGCCCGGTCCCCGGGGAACTGCACCCCCAGATCCTGGCTTCGGCGCACCTGGCGCACCACGGCCGGCAGGAAGAGGCCGTCTCCACGCCGAGCCAGCACCCGCTGGGACCTCAGCTGCCGCAGGTCATAGCCGCCGCTGGTGCCACTTGGGGGCCAGGGGCCGGGCCCACAAGCCTCGGCTGCCTCATCCTCCAGGTCGGCTGAGTGCTCGCTGGCCGTGTCGGTGGAAGAGGAACGGGTGGAGGTGGGTGGCCGTGGAGGGACACCCAGGGCGCTGGCCTCCTCAGGGGTCCGTGCCCGCTCTTCAGGGGCCCCGGCTGGCCCACTGCTACCGCTGCCAGCTCCATGCTCCTCCACATACTTCTTCTTGGGCGCTCGAGACTTGAACGTGGCCGTCTTACGGCTGAGTGACGGCTCCCAGCGGCTCGCCTCCCCCTCCACCTTGGGGTCCTCAGCGGGGCCTGGGGCCGCCGGGTCGTCAGGGGGCAGCTCCGGGAGCAGCCCCTCAGCCCCAGGGCCCCGCTCGGACTCCTCCTCCTCACCCTCCTCAGCCTCTTCTGGCCCCGGAGGCGGCGGCGGCTGCTGCTGCACCATTTCGTCTTCCTCCTCCGGCTTGTCGCCCTCCCCAGCCCCTCGCCGTCTCAGGGCCTTGGCCCGAGTGGCCGGTGGGGACTTGCCACCACTGCCAGAACCCGGGAGGCCGACACATGCCTTCTTCATTGGCTTCATCTTTTGTCCACCTGCAGGTGGGAGGGCAGACAGGGATCATCGGGAGCAACTCATGAACCTCCCCCACCACAGCCAGTGTCCCCCAAGACTTGCCACTTGCCGAGGCCACCGCCTCAGCTCCATGATACCTGAAGGCTCTTTCCTGGCTGTCCTCAACTCATGGGAGCCCCGGACCGGCACCCAGACACACTGGCACCCATGTCCCCTGAGTTATATACTCTGGCTCCCTGGGGCCACTGACACAGATCTGTTCCCTCTACACAGGCCACAGCAGGTGAGTGCAACTGCCCGAGGGGACACAAAAAGGCAGTAACAGTTCACGCCTGTGGAGCACGCACTTGGTGCCAAACTGTGGGCCGAACTTGATTTTATTAACCCATTTTATCCTGACGACGGCCCTAAGAGGCAGGTGCGACCAACAGCCCTACTTGAGGAAACTGAGGCACAGAGAGCTCAAGCAACTTTGTTCAAATTCATCCAGCTAGGAAATGGCAGCGCTAGGGTCTGAACCCAGGCAATCTGGCCGCTCCAGAGTCTGTGCTCCTAACCATTTCAGTGTGCCGCCTGTCACATGATCCAGAGGGCACGCTTCCTTGCACTGTCACTGTCCAGAGAGCACACACACTCATACACACACATGCACAGGAACACAGTCACAGAAAAGGAGGTGACTGGGCTGTGATGTGAGCCTCTCTCCACCCCCACCCCCACCCCCTCTGGGCCGCCTGACATGGCCAGACATTGTGGGAAGGAGTGGGCAGCTGAAAGTCCTGAGGGACGGCTGCCCACTCTTGCTCTGCACCCCAGGCCTGCCAGGTATAGCCATCTCCCCAGATCCTGGCAGGGAGCAGGCAGGGGCACGTCTGGGGCAAGAGCTTATACCCAGTGCTGCCACGGGGCCGTGCATGAGCACACGCACGCGCACAAAAACACACACAGAGGCACACACACGTCATCACACAGTGGGACACGGAGCTACACCCCAGGGTTTCGCTGTCCCACTGGATGGGAGCCTGCCCCTCCCCCCACAGCACCCAGCGTGATACCAGCAAGCCCAGCCCCCCTTCTGGCCTGCACGCATCCCCCGCCCTGACTGGGCTGCCTCTGGCAGGGTGGCTGAGCTGGCCCGGCCCCCTGGGGCCCCCAAATATGCCCTCTGACTCCAGGTGGGGGTAAGTGGGAGAAGGTCAAAGAAAGCAGGGCAAGCCCAGCAGGCCAACCTCACCCACTTCCTGAACAGTCATTACTGCCCGCCCCCTTTCAAGCTGCCCTGAGAAAAGAAAAGGGAAAAAAAACTTTACTCTGAAGTGACTAAGAGAAGCTGAGAGGCCAAAAGGAGGCCTCTGGGAGGGTGGGGGTACCCAGGACCATAACCCAAACACAATCAGAGACACCCCTGACTCAGTCTGCAAGCTCCCCCAGGACCCCTGATCCTGTGTTCTCCTACTTGGGGCCTGCTCCTCCTGTGGACCCTACAATCCCAGGCTGCTCCTTCTCTGGGCCAGTCCTGGGGTCCTCGCGGGCAGAGCCTGTAGGGCCCGGGGCTTCTCACACTGGGGCAAGCATCCAAGTGCCCAGGAGTTGGGCAGCTGCCACCACCTTCTCCCCACTGACCCGCTGGGCCACCGTCCTGGGGACTGAGATCCGGCCCCAATCCTGCCCAAACACAAACCTTTGCATACCCCACCCAGGGCCTACAACCATACGGCCTGGCACCCCTGGACCCTGCCGTCTGGTCCTGCCTCTTCACCCCAGAAGCCAAGCCTTTTTCCTTCCCCTGGGGCCTACTCTCTTCCTGTCCACCCCACTTTGGATAACTCCCACCCAAGGCCCTGTGGGCCCTCACCTCCTTCAGAATCTAAGCAGTAACTCCCGAAGCCCAGGCCCTGGGTCTTCAGGGTCTCATGCCCTCTGCTCCCATCAGCCCTCCTGGCACCAGCTTCTCTGCCACTCTCTCTCTCGTCCTGTCACCACTCTACCTCTGCCTCTCTCCTCACAGGCCCTAGGCCCCCTCCTCAGCCACCCCATCCTTGTCACTCTCATCTATCTCTGTCACCCCTTTCTCCCAGTCACTCCCCTGTCAGCCATCTCTGGACCTGTCACCTTTTCTCTCCATCACCTCTCCTTGTCACCCCTCCAACTCTGTCCCCTCCCTCTCCCTGTCACCCTGATCTAGTCCTGTCACCCCTCCATTCCTGTTACCCATTCTCTGCCCACCATCCCCTCTCCGTCACCCCTTTTCTGTCACTCTTCCTCCCTACCACTTCATCCACTCTATCCGCCTTTCCCACCATCCAACCCACCTTTTTTCCCCCTGTACCCTCTCCCCGTCCCTGCCACCTGTCCCCTCTCGGCCCCCAGCACCCCAAATCCCCCCTGCCCGTGTCAGCCCTGGCCCCGCCCCTCACCTCGGGCTCGGCGGGGTTTCGGGGCGGGGGGCCGTGGCCCCGGCTCGGTCCGGTCCGGTCCCTCCCCGCCCCCCCTCCGGCTCTCCCTCTCGATTCTCCCTTTTTTTTTTTACTCCAACACACAAAATGGTGAATGGACCTGCAACAGCTGGAGCAGCCAGCCAATCACCGGCCACAACCCCGCTGACCGGCGCCGTCCTAGACCAATAGATATCCGCAGCCTGGTCGGCTCCGCCTCTCCACGACGAGCGACATTCGCCTTGACCAATCCCGCCCACCCGGCAGCGCCAGGGGGAGGGGCCAAAGCCCAAGACCGGCCTCCCTCTGGGACCGACACCAACCTGAGCCTACGACCGCCTGATCTGCCTGGGGCCCTGCCCCACAACAAGTGATGGGCATCAGCCTTGACCAATTGCAGGCCGTCTTAGTGCAGAACGACGAATACAGTACCCAGTCGCCCTGCACTCTAGGCCGGAACCCAGCCTCTGTGAGGGACAGTAGCCAATGGGGTGCAAGAAGGAAGGGCTAAGGAATAGGCTGTCCAATAAGCAGGCTGAGGAGGCGTGGCCTGAGCGTTTGTTGACCGGCTAGTCGCAATTCCTGCTGGGAATGGTAGTCTTCTTACGTCTCCGGCCCATAGTCGATAGTAAAAAGCAGACTACAACTCCCATGTGACAGAGTGCTGGAGCACCAAAGAACCCGGGCGAGGAGAAAAAGTCGGACAGGGCAGTTCCTGTAAGTCTCCCTGCACACCGGGAGCATCTTAGACCCAGGGCCCCGACTCACCCGGATTCCCGGCTCTGGCGTCGCCAGTGGCTCCTCTCAGTGGCGGCGGTAGCGGCACGAGGGGGAGGTGCGAGGAGCAGCCAACCGCCACCCGCAAGCCCTGCAGCCAATCAGCAGCGGCCGGGGCGGTGCAATGACCTCACCGGGTTCTACTCTGTTACCCCTCCCCCACGTGGTTGTTGCTGTCGGTAGCCGGGAGTAGGGAAGTTCGGGGTGGGGGGGGAGGGGAGGAGAACGAGTGATGTCACCTTTCCCCCGCTTGATTGGCTGTAGGGCGGCCGGGACTATGACCAATCAACAGCCTCAGAAAGTCCGGCGCGGCCCCGCGGAAAGCCCTGTTGCCACCGGGAGGGGAGAGAACGTGCGCGTGTGGGGAGGCGCGCGCTGCAGTGGAGTGAACGCGCGCGGCCTGGGGCTTGGGGACCCTGGGGACAAGTCCTCTCTTCCAAGACTTTGACATGTAGGGCAGTGCAGTTTTCTGACAGCCCCCTTAGGCTTGTCGGGGCACAAGATGGGAAAAGGCGGCGCTTCACACCACATTCCCTTCACACTACATTCTGTGGGGGAGCTACTTTGTGGGTGTTCGCACTTGGCGGGAGCGAGACTTTTTTAAGGTCTCGGGGTGTGTGTGTGGGGGGGGTGTTCACACAGGGTAGGGAGGAGAGGGATATGCCCTGCCAGTCGTAGGTTCCTGCAGCCCAGACACGGGGTTTACACCAGGTGGGAAGCTGTCTGCAGTGCATCCATACTCTCCCCGTTGGATTTGCCCTAGATAGAGGGTAATGGGGAGCAGTGAACACTGGCCTCAGCCGAGGCGTCCGCTGCTTGTGGTGGGTTCCCAGTATGCACACAGGATCCACACCAGTTGTGAAGAAAACGCACCCAGCCTATTGCAGGTGCATGCTGTGTGACATTCCCACGACCCGTGACATATGGCCAGTTCACCGCGGGGCTGGGAAGAAACGTCGGTTGTCCAGCGGGGTTCACTGAGTTTGAAGGAGATACGCATTATGCACTGTCCACGAGAGATTTGCTTTGAGAGAGGGGGAAATTTCACTGTCTGCAAGTTCCACTGGGAAGGAATCTTACACAATTACTTACAGTATTATATTATGACTTGCACGTACTATTTTATAACCATGCTATTTTATGCTATTTTAATAACATTCTGGAAGAGTTTGCACTTAAACATTGAGCGGGCTTTGAGGGAACTTTTACAGGGCAGTTTAGACTGGGTACGTTGGGCAGATGCTGGGTCTGAGGGAAGTTTATACTCATCAGAGAGTTCCCATTGCCTACGTAGGTAGACCCTTGGAGAGCGGTTCACACTGTCACAAAAAGGGGTTCACAGAAGCTGCAGTAGGTTCCCCATACATGGCGATGTGCCATGTCCTTGTTAACTTTGTCATGGATATGAGACATCATACTGTCCACGGGAACCACATACCAGGTGGGAGTTCTCATTGCCCATAGGAGATTCTATTGCGTTACAGGGAGACTTCCACTGATGGGGATGCTGTTTCAGGGTCCGCAGTCAGTTCACATCAGGTGTGAGGGAGAATCAGACTGTTGGTGGGGAGGTGTGTACTGTCCATGACGGAACTCACCCTGTCCAGGGAGTATGCTCTGCTGTAGTGAGAGGGGCCTCTGCTGTCCCATTCAGGAACGTCTTGGCTGTGGTGAGTTCACAATGTCCGCAGAGGAGGGGCGCCTGGGTGGCTCAGTCGGTTAATCGTCTGTCCCTTGGTTTCCGCTCAGGTTGCGATCTCAGGGTCGTGGGATCGAGCCCCACATCTGGCTCCGTGCTCTGTGAGGAGCCTGCTTGTCCCTCTCCCTCTGCTCCTCTCCCTCACTCTTTCTCTCTCATAAATAAATAAAATCTACCAAAAAAACAAAAACCAGTGTCCACAGAGGAATCCTCACTGCTTATTGGAGTTACACCATGCACAAAGGAGACCTGTCCATGGGAATTCATGCTGTCTAAGGCCTATTTTCCCTGTCATCGAGGAAAGGTGTGCACAGTGAGCTGTGCCCTGCCCCTGGGAGAATTACATAAACCGTAGTTAACTTAGTTCTACAGTTCACTGCAATTACACTGTCCTGTGAAGCTGGGGGGGGGGGTGATGTTGCAGGAAGCAGGATAGTACAGGCTTAGCCAGGCTGCTGGGGTCAAACCCAGCTAGTGGGGCTTCTTCCCCAGCTGTGTGACTTTGGGTGAGTCATTTCATCCCTCTGTGCTTCCATTTCTACATCTGTACAGGGATAATTTAAAAAAAAAAAACAAAAAAACCCCACCTCGGCATAGGGTTGTAATGAATTAATATGTGCAAAGGATTTAGGACAGTGTCTCCAGCAGAGTAAATCCTCGAAAATCTTGGCTATTAGTGTGATTGTTAGTATTCAGGAGGTTATCCCTGCCTGAAGAGTTTATGCTGTCTCAGTCTTATTGGTCACCTTGTCCGCAGTTTGTATGCTGGTGGTGCTGCTGATGGTGGTGGCAATGTTTTGGGGAGGTATTTCAGGGTTCAGCATATCTTTGGGGCATTTGTCAATCTATCGGGAGGCATTATGGTCCAGTACTTGATGTCCCAGCTGTCACCATAGTTAGCTGTGTTGCCGTGGGCCTGGAACCTAAGTTTCACTCTCCTCCTCTGAAAAATGAGGATCATTGGAGTACCTACCTAATAAAGTTGAGGTGACAATGAAATCAGATGTTGAATCCAGGGCCTTGCATATAGTGAGTGCTCAGTAAATAGGAGGGGTGCTTTTGTTTTTAAGATTTTATTTATTTATTTGACAGAGAGAGCACAAGCAGGGGAAGGAGTACAGGGAGAGGGAGAAGCAGACTCCCCGCCGAGCAGGGAGCCCGATGCGGGGCTTGATCCTAGGATCCCGGGATCATGACCTGAGTCGAAGGCAGACGCTCAACTCACTGAGCTACCCTGGCATCCCGGAGGGGCGCTTTTTATGTGGCTTATCCTGTGTTGGGCCCTGGGAAATCCTTGCCGTTCACGAATTCACCATTTCTTTGTCTTTATTTGGGACCTCATTGTCTGTGACAGGTTACACCACCCTTCAGGGACTCCTACTGTCTTAATACATGTGTGTGTTGAAGGACAGTTGGGTAACTTTTAATGAGAGAATTAGGACTTTGGGGAGGGGGGTGGATAATATAATTTTATGAAGGTTACAAAGGCCCAGGGAGCTTAAATGGAACATGGGGTTTCTCCCTGTTTATGGAAAAGGGCTACATTATCAATGACTTAATAAAACTGACATAGTGGGCGCCTGGGTGGCTCAGTTGGTTAAGCGACTGCCTTCGGCTCAGGTCATGATCCTGGAGTCCCTGGATCGAGTCCTGCGTCGGGC